AGCAGCTAGATTTATCTGTGAGGAAGCGGGGTTCAACCCAATTCAATTTCAGCAAGGGTTTGTTGTTCACACAGAATGTACACAGCTCTGGATTTGATCTGTGGGGAATTAAGGAATGAACCTCCTATGATTCTTGCCCTTTGTCCTGGAGCTCGGTCTAAATAGAGAGAGACACACAGGAATATTTGATCTAGTTGACCAAGGGGCCTGCACCCGTCTGACCAAAAGCTCTGGAAGTCCAGGACAGGGGAATTACATAAGGCACAAGGAGAAAGACTTTGCCTTGGCACCCCCTTATACTGGGTCACCCCAATTTTACAAGCATGGGGGAAACCTAAAGACAGACCATGTTTAGGGGATCATGTTCTAATTTGAAATTTCTCACTCCAGCCCCACCCCCATCTGCCCAGAAGGGCAAGGTCAAGGTAAGCAAAAGTAAAAAGGAAGATGTGGAGATCCATGAATGCTGTCTATACTGTGCAATTTTATGATGGTAGAAAGGCCTCTCAGGTGCAAACATTTTAAGTGAATAAAATCAGAATTCAAATTGTAGCTAACTTTTGAATAATACATAGTTAGGTTCACTTTTTAATTTTTATTTATTGATTTTAGAAAGCAAAAGAAAGGGGGAGAGAGAGATCAGTTTATTTTTCCACTTATTTATGCATTTATTGGTTGACTCTTGTATGTGCCCTGACTGGGGATCGAACCCACAACCTTTGCATATCAGGACAATGCTCTAACCAGCTTTATACTAGGAAAAAGACACTGAAACACACTAGCCTCTGTTTTCTCATCTGTAAAATGGGGAAAATAAAAATTAATCTCACAAAATTAAATGAGAATTAAATCATTAAATGAATTAAATGAGACCTTGTATCTGTAACCTAAGTGTCTCAAAGTCTTCCAGACACAAATTTACAGAGTAAAGGTGGCCAAGAACTACCACTCACTCCAAGTTCCTCTTATTATAACCTTGTTTGTTATCTTGCCTCCTCTCTCCACCTCTCTTTACCCCTAACAAGAGATAGCCATTCTGAGCATCATTAGCCCAAACAGGTGTGCATAAGAGGTCTTTCCTACCTCACTGCAGATTCTGGAATTATGGTGGGTAAGGAGTCAGAGAGAGGAAGTTTACCTCACAGCCCGTCCTGTTGACTTCCAGTCACCCTGCCTCCTCCCCACCTGCGGCCTCTCCTCCCTGCTTTATTCTTAGCGGGCAAAGCCCTGCCCCCTTTCCTTCCCAGAGGGCCAAGGCTAGCCTAATGTGTATTCCAGACTTTAAGTGGTTAATTGAGAAAAATGAAAGATGACTCAAGCAGGGGACGGGAAACATCAAAAATAAGACATTTGGCCTTGTGCTGTCCTCACGCACACTCCCACAGAGATCCTTTTGAGTCACGCTTTTTGCCTGGGAGAGCACCTCCAGTGCCTTCTTGTCAAGGTTTTCTCTATCCCGGCGCCTCTTCTCATCCCCAGGAGCCCCAAACCTCGCCATCAGAGGGCAATTCCTAAATGTGTTGCTTTGTCTTTCAGAGCAATTAATTTTCCTTCTCTTTTATTTATCACGTTTCACAACCTTAAAAATCATCCAGGCGTTTTCCTAAACGTAGGAGTCGCTTCATGTACACTCACTTTGTTAATTATTCTTTTACAGTCCTTTTACTAGGGCTTCATGGGGGAATAGAGGTAGACACATGTGTTCAGTCTGCCATATTTCATCGAAAGCCTAAAACTTCATTTTTTTAGATCCCTTGTTTATTACCAGAAATCTGATATAATATTTGATCACTTCCTGGCAGTCCTAAAGGCTGTGACCATCCCAGTCTATCTGATGTTATTATGACATAGAAGAATCTACTTTATTCCTATATGCGGACATCTCCAAATCACATTACAAGACAGGATGGCTTTCACCTGCCCAGCAGGCTCTGGCTCTCATCAGCTCAGCCATAGAGTCTGCTTTTTGCTTCCTTGCCCTGTGACGTGGGGTGAGCTTCATTTCTGAGCCTAAGAGCCTATGATTCCTTCGTCCTGCAAGCCAGCAGCAGTTAGGGGCATTGCTGTCCCCCTCTTCTCTAGGGTGAACTTCCATGACGACCTGCCCACTAGTTAGAAGAGGGCAGGCCTGAAGCCTAAAGATGGGGGTTCAGTTCCAGCCTTGGCACTGACCAGATGTGGGAATGGGAGCAAGTCACTTTGCCTCCCTCTGCTTTGGTTTCCTTATTGCCAATGGAGACTTATGGCCCTCACAAGGATTTCGTGAGGAATAAATGAGATGGGACATGTGCCTGGCAACTAGAAGGTGTTCAATGAATGGTTATCTAGGTATTCTCCATGCAAGGCCACTAAAATCTGTACCTGCCTTGTACCCTTTTATGAAAATGAATCCACTCCAGTGCATTCCTCAACTGATACGGTAAGCTTGTTAATGAATGGTCTTTTTTATTCTTAAAATAAGTTGATGGCAAACAACATACTACTACTGTCTCCTTTTTTTTCTTTGCTTAATCCCTTCACCCTTCTCTTCCAGCCCCAAAACCCTTCCCCTCTGACAGCTGTCCGCCTGTTCTCTGCATCCATGAGTCTGTCTCTGCTTCGTTAGTTTATTTTGTTCATTAGAGTCCACATATCAGTTTTTCTACTTTTTTTACTACTCAGCTGCTCTCTCCCATGGGGGCCCAGTTCCATCTCCCCACAGTGCTTGGTGAGGACTGAGAAGACCTACTCTCTCCTTTCTGAGAGGGGTAGAGTCGAGATCCTGTGAGATAAAGAAAAAGTCTGGATAAGACTGACTGCCTCTCTTATCAGAAGTTCTGTATGAGAATTCTCCACAAGGGTAAGAATGGGAAAGGGTAAAGATGGCAAGAAGGGTGAAATGTAAATGCCACTAAACATGGGAAGTCTCTGTAAACAATAGCCCCTGAACTTGTCTTCTCCCTTTTAGTCCCAAACCATTCACATACTTAATGATGTGGTTTGCAAACCTCTTTCTGTAATTCTAAGGTTTGCTTAACACCTTCCTGAATTTCCTCTCTTTGGCATCTTTTTGTGAGTCAAGACTTGGTCGAGTTAGGGCCAAACTAGCAAAAGGAGCTCAACACTATTATTTGCCAGCAAACCACCCTCAGCTGTCATCTCTGGAATCCTGCGCTTCAGCTGCAGGTACCAGACATAGCACCGTCCATTCCCAGTGTTGTGCAAATGGATTAACCACTTCGTATTCAGCAGAATTTTCCGGATGACCCCAGTACCTCCTGTTCTCCTCCCAAGTTCTAGGAGCGGCAGGAACAGGGAGAAAGCTACAACCACAGAGCAGAGGCTGCTGGAGGCCTTGCCTGGTGGACCCTCAAAGGACAACAAGGAGGCTTGATATGTAAAAATATGAGAATAAAGATCTGATTCACACTCTCCTTTTGCCATGACACAGCTTCTGGATCATAGTCTAGAAGCAAAACTACAAAACTGCTTTCATTCACATTAATGTGTTTAATATAATGGATGATGCTATTTTGCTAAACTAAACCATTTATATAGGTTTAATAATTGAGAAATGTATTGAGAGGTTGTTTAGGGATTTTTTTATTTGTTGATCTACTTTGCTTTTACTTTCGAGCATGCTGAGTCATTGCTATCATTTCATGTAACAACGATTCATTATTGTAATGAACCAATTAATAAAACTGCGCAGTCAAACTAATGAGAATGTACTGAAAATCTTCACAGCTACTGCTACTAAACCATTTTGAGTTAATAGCACAGAAACGAGATCCGCACAAGGCATTTACTCTCCGTGAGCACATTCAATACTCCTGCCTGCTGTGACCTAGGTCTTTTGACTTGAGCTTGTCTATCATACAGATGTTGAGTGAGGGCTCCATTTTACCTCTTTTCTTTCTTCAAAACCACCACACAACGTCGTATGTGGCTTATTCAACCCCACATACTGTCATGCAGGTGCCACTTGCGTGGATGTATCAGTTATGTAATATTGTTCTGTAATATTAGCCTGAGAAGTGAAAGAAAGGAAATGAAAGTAGTAAGTACATTCCTGTTTTGCAATAGTGTTTAGGGTGCCAAATCAGAATCTCAGTTTGCAAAATGACTTATGACTCCAGAGCCTTCTCCTGTGACAATGCTTTCAAGTGCATATTCTCTGGGCTGAGGAGAAAATTTGTCTTCAATATAACATGAGTATAATAATGGTAATCACAAGCCAGCGGTTGTCGTTTTGACGCCACCACCAGAAAGTCATCCCGAGAGGCTTAGCCTCACACTGAAAGTTTAACGCTGTCACTTCAAGGCTGGGATTACTCAGTACCCGCATCGCTGTTAACTCAGCAACTGCGTGGCGGAAGCTGATTTTGAGTGTGAGCGTATCACCCACATGACCAAGAATATGGTTAAAAAACTCCTTTTAAGACCATCAGCTTTTGAGAATGTAACATTTTCAGGAAGGTTGTTTTTGGAAAAAAAGATAAATATTTAAATGTGTCTAGAATTCTCCCATCCACAGACTCCAGCTGTGTCCAGCTGATAACCACTCGTTCGTCATCCTCTTCGTCACTGGAAGAGCATCGAGGCCAGGAGCAAGGGAAGCCGCTGCCTGCAGGGCACACAGCCGCGGCAGGACGCGGCTGGGACTCAGACTGAGCGCCTTTCCCCTTCCACCCGGCTTTGTCTCTGCAGCTTCTTGGCTCCGACACCTCATGAAGCAGGTTCAGATATACCAAATGGTGACGTGAAAGGAGACTTACTATTTTTTTAGTTTAGTTTTTTCCTTTTTATTGTATTTTTTCCATTACCATTTGTCACCCCCATACCTTCTTCTGCCTCCCCCACCATTCCCACCCCAGCCAGCACTCTGTTGTCCATCGGTGTCCATGAGTTCTTGCTCTTTTCTTTTTCTTTTCTGCTCCATCCCTCCACTCCGTTAAAGCCCCCTCCCACCTCCCCGGAGCTGTCAACCTGCTCTCTGCCTATGAGTCTGTAAATATATATTCTCTCTGTCTCCATTAAAACCTGGAAACTCGGAGTTCGGAGTTCACAGGATCCATTCCTGAAAAATACAGTAATTTTGTTTCTTAGCTGCAACAAGAGCTCCCTCTGCTGGCTACTGGTAACACTTCGGAAAGACTACAGTTTAGGCTGGGGAGATAAAAACTCCTAAGAGTGATCCCGGCATCACCAAAAACCCTGATTTCTCTCCAATCTGCTTGCATCCTTTTCTAGCCAATCAACCACATCACAGGCATCTTTGGGGTATCAATAATGCCCTGTGATACCCCTTCTGACAGCGCCCTGCTACAGATCCATTGCCTTATAGAAAATAACAGCATCCTGCATTTTCAAACTGTGGATTCTGAAAACTGAAGTGTAGGCCTCGTAAAACTTGTGTCTGTCCATCTGCAGTCTTTTCAGTAAACAGTTTCAGAAACCAGGTGTGTTTTCCAGGCCATTCTGTTTTATCTTCCCTTTTCCATCATGGTGGGTTCATGACTCCGATACCCTAATGCAACCGCGTTTCCTTTCAACATCTGGAATTCACAAACCAGTCCTGAGCTTCCTTCCTGCCCAGAAAGAGGAAATCAACTGTCTTCCAAGGGGACCTGTTCCTTTCTCTGGACAATAGTTTTAGAGGACACAGCTGCTCTTTCTACAAATACGTTTTTCTGCATTTTGACTGGAATTTGGCAGGTGGCACATAAATCTCCAATAGTATAAATCACGGTGGGGCAGAACAGAGAAAACCCCCTTTAAAAAACGTCCATGGGTTCTTATTGCTATTCCAGTTCGCCTCTATTTTAACAACTTCTTCTCGACTTACTCTAATAGAAGGGTTTATTAATCCATTTTTTCCAGTTTCTGAACTACTTTTTGTTTTAATTAATGTTAACTTGAAAAGCTCTATATTATCATACCAAACGACATCAGTAAATTTCATCAATTTCAATGAAATTGTTCATTGTTCAGAAGGCACCATATCTTTTTTTTCCCTTGACCCTCATGTCAGCCATCCTGAAACTGGCTTCACAGTATGCAAGTCCCATTGAGTCTCTGGTCTGCATCGCCTTAGCACCAATATCTGAAAAGAAGCCTCAGCATTCTTATAGGGGGTCACCAAAGAAACTAAGAGCTCAGTACACTCAGTGCAATAGGTAGTATGTTTGCTTAGTAAAACAGAATAATGAAATGTGGATTATAGACAAATACCACTTCTCAAAGTTTCAAAAAAAAATCTGTCCATTTTCTCCACTTGAACTCCCCAGTTTGAATTTATTTTATTTCCCCTTCATATTTTTTTATTTTACTGGTACCTTTGTATCTTGATGGAACAGATAGCATAAAACTGTACCTTTGTATCTTGATGGAACAGATAGTATAAAACTAATTTCACAGAGGCTCATGGGTACATACAGGGGCCTGTACCAACTCAAAAGAGTCAACTGTGCACATCTCTTTCCAGTTCTGCATTTGGTGATATCATCATGTTCATAGCTTGCAGTCAGCCAGAGTGGAAGTATTTACACCATGGAAATTGGCCAACACTAGAAACCGGGACTTTGCACCCAGAGAGCCAATTGTTAAGCATTTACAGAACAACTCTGGGCACATACCTCAGTTTCCCCGGAACTAGTCAAAATGTCAGAACATAAAATCAGTTGACATCCAGAATTATCAGAGTAACATGCCAAACATCATGGTTGAGAATTCCCACTCAAGAAGTTTACATAGAATAGCTTTTGGAGCTTTATATAATTTCTGCAAAATTCACTGAATAACGCTCCCCAGAACCAACCCTTAAAAGACAAAAAAAAACCAAAACACTATTAGATTATAGTACATTTTAGTTATAATATCCAAGGCACATTACATTTAGTTATTTACCAGTTTCCAGAGGGTTTTATTTCCACAACAGACAAACACAGAAAACTCAGTAATTTCTAGTTATTAACAGTTCTGTGCTGACATCCATTTTTTACATGAATGAATACATACTATGCTCTCTCCTCCCTAGTTTTGCACCTGTCATAACTGTGTGTCTCTGGATGATATGGAGGACAGAGCCCAGCAAGCTCTGAGTATGAGGCCTGGCTTTGCCAAAATCTAAACTGGACTGAGGAAATGTTCGGTTTCCTTACGGGGTCCCAGAGGGGCGGACCCACTAATTTCTCCTTCCTACTAGTCTGTCATGGCACCCCTGGTGTCATTCCCAGGAATGTAATGGCCTCAGATACCCCATCGCTGGAAATTGTTCATAGTAGAGGTTCTCATTTTGTTGTTCATTTAGCACCTAAATTGAGGCAGGAGAAACATTTCTCCCTGAAGGCTCTGTGCATCTGAATTCCCCTGCCTTTTTATTGCCACTTCCACAGACAGGGACGGCCTCCCCAAACGAGGAGGCCAGGACACTCGGGCCTTGCCCCCAGCTGCCTTGAGACAGTACTTGGCCTGATTCCTCTTTCCGGGGGGTTGGAATTCTGAGCAATATCTCATCTGAGTCTAATACACTTCCTCCCTACTCTCTGACATTTCTTCTCACCCCAGCCCCACACCTTGAACAAGACTTCTTCCTCTGGCATTGCCCTATATTCTCACTTGCCCCTTAAACTTGGCTGGGTCGGGCTGTGCTCACTCAAGGACACAGAGCCACGCTTTCGTAGAGCTTCAGGCATGTGCCTGAGCTTCCACCCAGGCTCCCAGCACAGGCCTGCCCTGAATTCTCCTTCACTTTGAGTTTCCCTCCACCTAACATCCCTCAACATTCGACAACATTCTATTATCTTCTACTGTGTTTTTCTACCTATTTCTAAAGAAAGGTTGGGAGAGGGGAGTGTTCTAATTAGTCCCATTTTTCCCCATGTCAGAAACCTACAGGAGTCACAATACAATCCAGATCCAAAAGTGACTCAGAACAGATGTGTTTGTTTTCTAAGACTTGCAACTTTGGAGAGACCCCAAGCTTATTAGTCACCCACTTATCTTTCCAAAAACATTTGTGTTGGGCTAATGTTGCTGACCATTTCTATATAGCTCTTAATTTCTACTATTTCTTCAAACCGGGAATTATTTCAAATCTTCTTTTTTGATTTCCAAGAGAAGAGGTATTTCTTGGAGAACCTTTTATTTTGTTATCATTTTTAAAAATTCTGTTGCATCATAGAGAAAGTGCAAGATCTTATGGTTTCTGTTTAGTTGGCAATTATAGTATTGCAGGTTGTTCAAACTTTTGTATAAGCCATCATATTGCACTTACCATCTACCATTTGATTTTTTATTTTGCTTTCCAAATTTATTTACCTGGTATGGGCATATATGATTCACTTGTTTGAACTGCTGTTTAAGATTTTATTTATGAATATACTATTATTGATTCGTTCCTTCTCTTATCGGTGGATATTGTGATTAATTTCTTTCTGTGTCTCTTTCTTTTCCAATGGCAAACCATGCATCACTGAACAGATTTATATGTTTCTCCTTTTTCTATGGATGCAAGTTTTCTATAGGATGGGTACCTAAAATCATAATTGCTTGATCATAATTTATACAATCTGCTGCTTTGCTAGTATCCCCAGACTTCAACCCAAAGGTGTTGTAATAGTTTATATATTCTCACTAGTATTTTATGAGAATTTTCCCTACATCTTTGCCAACACTTGATAATTTTTAGTTTTTGCCAATATTATGGTTGTACAATATCTTTTGCACATCCCTGAAGATATATATCTTCATACTGAAGAAACTTGAGTCCTAAGAAAAACAAATAAAAATAAGCCCATACTTAGTAGCATCATATTGAAACTTTAGAATACCAAAGCCAAAGGAAGAAAATTTTAAAAAACAACCAAAAGGAAAATACAGTTTACTTACAATGGAAGACAAGTAAAATGACAGCAGATTTCTCATTGGCAATTACAGAGGTCAGAAGACAATAAGATGACATCTTCAAAATGCTGTTGAGGGAAGAAAAAAATACCCCATCATACTAGAATTCTATATTATCCTGCCAGTGGTTTTATCTGTGAATTCTCCATTGGCCTCTCTCACCTTCTTTAGAAATAGATAATGTCCCTTGACCAAAGGGGTGGGTAAGTATCTGAAGCTGGACAAGTCCTATAACTTTGTGCCCTCTGGTCACAGGATTGACAACAGGAGGCACATAAACAAAGAGCTATGAACACTTCGCCCTTCATATACATGCTTTGAATATGCATTTTCTTTGTATTGGCCCCTTGCATCTAAGAGGAAGCTTTTCAAGGAAGAAAGAAAAACTTTGGTACTCAATGCTCCCAGCTCTTCCTTTGGACTCCAGCTATTCTATTATTAGGACCCCCAGGAGCTCCCCAAAAGGAAAACTTACACTAGAAAAAAAAGGTATCACATGAGAAGCTAGATTCAAATATTTGATTAAGGACTTTCAGAGATTTGAGACAATACAAGTAACAGCAAATTAAAACTGTAGGTAAAAGTAAGTTAAGGATGTAGATTCAACAATGATACAACCACCCTAAGGCAGGTGAACGTATTTGCAAGGCATAGGGCATCTTGGCACCAAACCATTTGGGGAAGTGAAGAAAACCAAGATTGGAAAAAGCTGGAATCGGAATGCATCCGGCTGTGGGTCAGCAGCCTTATCAGGGGCCATTCTTAGTCACCTGTCAGTGGGTTCTGTATGAGACAAAGTGACGATGGTTTGGGCAGAATCTGTTAGCACCTGGGAATAAGATCTGGAGAAGGCAGTGAAGATTATATGAAGCCCAGAGCAATGAAAGTGTAGAACGATTGACAGTAGCTGTACCAGAAATCTGAAAAGCAAGATCTTTTGTGAATTTAAATTGTATAAATACAGATGAGTGAGGGAAAGAGATGGAAGACCGGAGCTGAAGGAAGGGTGGCAGCTGGAGGTCACCCAGGAGCCTGGAGTGAAGAGAAAGCAATGGTCTCCTTCTGCCTCTGCCTGTTCCTGCCCTCCCAGCACTTCCTACTGAGATCAGTGAGCAAATAAGAAAAGATCTCAAGGCTGAGAAGATGTGGCTTAGAAAAATAATGGAGTTGACATTCTGAATAAATATGTTATGCAGCTGAAACCACTTGATCTTGATCTTTGCATCAGAGGAGAAAAATCTTAGTGGAAGAAATGGACAGGGTTGCTTTAAAAATAAAGAGTTAGTTGGCAGATCACCACAGTAATAAGATGAAGAAGTCAGATGGTAGCAAAATCCACATTACCAAGAGTTAAAGAAAACAGACATCATTTACATTCCAAGCTGAGTAATGAGATGTCAGCAAGACATCAGCTTGGGGGAGGGGAGGTTGGAAAATGATTCTTTTTCTACTGTTTGCAGACAAAGCTCTGGTTGAAAATAAGTGCAAAATCTTGCAGCTGGCAGTAGAGATCCTTAACGATCTCCATCAGTAGAAAACTAAGACTGTTAAAGGGCCTGAGTCAGAAAGCTCACAAGACAGAAGAGAAAGGAGAGAAGCCATTAGCTATGGAGGGGACTGTTCACAGAGAATTTCAGAAATGGAGGGTGAATTATAGTAAAAACATATTATGTAAAACCCTGTTGCATCACCATGGTAAAAAGAAAAAGAAAAATCCCAGGACACCAGGCTTTATCTTTTTAATGCATCCAGATTTCTTCTTATAGAGAAGAGAGATGTGGCCTTCCTGAGACAGAAATTGCAGGTGGCAAGCCCAGAGATTATTGTCCTTCACAGATCTCAGAAATAAAAACAAGTCCAGGACTATGTACTAAATAACTCCCATCAAGAGGTCCTGGGAGCCAGACTGGCTCCCATGGAATGCTCCTGGTGCATGCTGGGGCACTGTGCCTGCCGCCTTCTTGCTATGGGAGAGGCGTGCCTAGGATTGAATTAGTTGTGAGTGGGCTCGCACATAGATACAGAGACATACAAGGTATCAGGAAAAACCTGACCCTCTAATCTACATGGAAACTTGACTTAACTAAGGAAAAGTTGCCAGAATGTCTTTTGGGTGCCATACCCCCTGATGACACTACCCAACCCTCCTTGATGGTGGACACAAGAGGGATATCCCCATTTTATTGTTAATCAAATAAATTTGCCTGGAGGTTAACATAGCGCTGTTCATGAGCCACCACCTAGGCCAAGGGACTTTTTCAATCTGATAAAAGTATCTGCCTCTAATATTGGCCCCTGTGTGGCTTCATTAATAAAGAATGGCCCAGCCCTGGCCGGGTGGCTCAGCTAGTTGGAGTGTCATCCTGGTACACCAAAAGGTTGCAGGTTGGATTCCTGGTCATGGCACATACCTAGGTTGCAAGTTCGATCCCTGGTAGGGTACGTACAGAAGACAACCAATTGATGTTTCTCTACTACATCAATATTTCTCTCAATCTCTTCCTCTCTCTCTCCCCTCCTTTCTATCTCTCTCCCCCTTCCTCTCTCTCCAAAATCAACAAACATATCCTCAGGTGAGGATTTTTTTTTTAAATGGCCCAAAAAGCTTGCTCCCACTTTCTACCGCAAGGGCTGGTTTGGCTGATGCTGATGCCAATAACTTCCTCTTTATCAGGAATCCCTGCCATTAACTCGCCACAGAAAGGACTCCCACTGCCTCGGCCACTTCTCAAACACGGACCCAGGCACTCTTTCCCACCCCTTCTTCCTGCTGAGTTTACAGATCATGTATAAAGGAACCTTTAGAAACTTAGACGCTCTTGCCTTAAGAGTGTCTTTTTCCTGGACTCTGATTAGTTGAGATTATCTTTCTTTCTACAAAATACTTCCCGCCTTTGGGGTCTAGACAAAAGGCCACCAGCCTCCGCAGATGCCAACCCTGGGTCCCACAGGCTTCCAGCCTCAGATTATAAAGAAACTGTTAGGACAATTTATGTGCTTCAAAATCCAAAGTAAATGTTATTTTGGTCATTAGATTTAACACTTTTTTTAGAATTTAGTTTTATTGTTAAGAGATCTTTTTTGAGCCAAAGGATTCAAATCTGCTAGACATTTTATTTGCTATAAAGGCTGCCACTTTAGCTGTGGTCTCTCATTTTCTCCACTCTTCTCTAACCTATTTTATGCATTAGTTATGCAGTTTATATAGTTAATGTAGCATATGCAAAAGGGGTGGACTTTTAGTACCATGATGAATGTAATATACTTTTATGTAAATTTGTTTAAAAGTAAAAGTATAAATTTAATTTTCGGAAAGGTTTGTTAATCTATGCTCTTTTGCTCAGCCATACCTTGAATAAACCTAGCCAGTGAATTGGAAGTCAAAACACTCAACTTTGGTAGGTGAATTGTTTCTTAAGAGGAAATAAGTGATCGCTAAAGTTTTACCAGTCAACTAAAACCCAAATCTGTGATGTAATGCCAAATAGTATACTCTTCAGTGCAACAAACCATTTAGAAGGTCACTAACATATGTAGTCTATCAACACTTGCTTTCAGTCATGAAAGTGGAGACTCTCAGATTCTCTTACCCCAGTGGAACTGTTTATCTCTATAAAATTAGAGATTAACATAGACCCGAAAAACTGCCTTAGATGATGTGAACGTGTGGCTGGGAGCCTACTGGCTTCACCTCCCTCTCATTTCATAAGGTGGAATCTCCATGTATTCCAGGGCTCCACCAGCTCTGCCTGGAAACTGCTAGATTGCAACATTATGGCAGCAAGGTCAAGGTCCTGGTTTCAAGGACCACGGGGGGCCATGACCAACTTCTCCCATTTACAAATGCAAAGCACTCTGTGGCATAGGATGGATGCATAGTCCATGTTCAATAAAAAAAAAAAGCTATTTTTATCACTCTCCTTACCCAACATTCCCACAGGTGTGTATCTATTGCACAAAGAAGAAGAGTATGAAAACTCTCTCCAAATCACAACTATACACCCTATTGCTGGCTTGACAGAATCATCTTTGTCCATTAAGAACACTTCATGTTACTTAAGAAGGAGGAATAAGTACCTTTTAATGGTGTTATTAATGGGACTGAGACATGCGCTAGGAGTCAGGCAAGGAGCCCATCTAGGACCCTCCCAGAGTGAGTTGCCACATTTCTCTAATGTCAGGACAGCAGCCCACATGTCATTCTGCAAATTAATCTCTCACAGCACAGCCCCGTGTCACTGTGCGCTGTCAGAAGTTTTGCAGCTTCCCACAGTGACAGCTTCCTCGTGATTCTTTAATCCTTGGGAAGATTAGATTCTGCCTTCCTTTCTCCAACTCTTTCATCTTCCATCTGAGACCAGATATGTCTCAAGTTAAATCTGAGATTTACATCTAACATGAAGTTGTAGGCAAGCAGTTAGTGGCAAAATATCACCTTGAATTGTAAATTAATTAATTAGCTCATTAATTAAATCCATCTGGAGAAGGTTTTTTTAAGTAGATTTCAAAGACCCGGGATGAAGTGATTTCTCTATAATCCTCTCCACCATTCTCATCTCTGACCCCAAAGCCCACACCCCCATTGTGAATGGAACACTTCGCCTCTTACTTCAAGAGAAAATCAAAGCCCCAGATAGGAATGGACTCAACTCCTGCCACCCTCCAGAGACCCTGCAAACCCACCAGAGTCTGCGCTCTTTTTCCTCTTCCCCTTCTTCCCATGAAAAGGGACTCCCCCATCGATGCCTAATCCCCTCATCCGTGCCCTGGATTCCCCCTTCCACATCCTCAGTTCTCGACTCCATCAATTAATCCCCTCCTCACCCTTCCTACGCCCTCTCTGCTGCCTTCCTCCCAGCAGCATTCCCCATTCTCACGTGTCTCCCAAGTTCATGGAAAACTCCAGCCCTTGCCCTCTCCTCTGCTTCCCTTCATAGCCAAGCTTAGTTGAAGGGGTTGCATCTACCTTTACAAATTCCTCTTCCTCACCTTCCATTTGCTCCATGCAGGGTACCGTACAAAGTTACTAGAAGTCCCTTATTGCTAAATTAAATAGACAATTTTGACTCCTCAAAAGTCTCTCAATTTTTGAAAAATTATTTCTATTTTTTTTAAAAAAACAACAAACAAGCATCTCTTCAGTCAACAGGTATTTATTGAGTTCTTACTAGTGCCGGGTACTGAGGATGTAGCAGTGAATAGCTGTTGGCAGTCCTGGAGTTTACATTAGGAGGGGGAAGGGAGCCAAGCAATAAACAAGAGCAAAAATGAACAAGATCATTCCAGGGGGTGATAAGTGCTGTGAAGACAAACAAACTAGAGTGATGGGCTAGAGAGTAACCATGGAAACCACTCCCAGTTTCCAAGGGAAGCAGCTCTGATATGATACTTGAGCTGAAGGCACCAATGCAAAGATCTTAGGCCAGAGCATGACAGGCAGAACGAACAACAGAGCTCCGAGGCAGGCCCAAGCACTGAGCAGATAGGACAACATCTTGTTTACAAGTACAAAAGGAGGGGAGAGAAAGAAGGCAAGAAAGTGTGGTCTTATGGGATAGGGAAAGGGTGCCTAAGTCACAAACAGAGTGCTCCAAGCCTGGAGGAACCATGAGCCTTTTACCCTGGGGTCTGCGGTCTGGCTCCACATCCCCTCCAGACCCAAGTAGGGAAGTGTTGGAGGAGGTGGGAAGGAGCAGGGGAAGTAGCTATCGCTTGCATCCTTCACCCTTCGACCCCAACAAACAGATCCACCAATAAACCAATCAGCCACGCTTGAGCTTATATAAGCTAGGATGGCTTCTGGAACGGCTGCTGCTGGAGCCGGGAGAGAGGTGGATTCTCTCCAACCCCTCTCCTTCCACCTCCTGACTCTGAGCTGAGTAAAGAAAGTGGCCTAAGAGGGGCTCCCACAAGGCCACTGCTTGGCATGTAAGGGAACCCGAAGCCAAGGACAGGCCCAGAAGGGAGTATATTAGAGTTCAGTTTTCTCTGGTGATCGGCTTAAGTGACCAGGATCCTCAGGGGGCATGAAACCAAGAGGGAACTTGCAGGGACTCTCCAGTATTTGTGTGTGGCAGAAAAAAATGAAAAAGCAAAGATGTTCTCCTAAAGCCAAGTTTCCTAACCTAATGCACACCTAACACACACACACACACACACACACACACACACACACACCCCCAATCCACAAGATGACCTGAGAGTCCTCTGTTCAACCTGCGGGGAAACTCCCTCCCTGCTGTATGTGTATGTGTGTAAGGCGTATAGTGGAACCAGGGTAGAGCCGGGGGGTAGTTTCTATGGTGGTGATAGAGAGCCTGTTCCGAGGCCAAAGTCTTTCCCAAGAATCTAGGGCTACAGATAGTGGGAGTAAAACAGAGAGCAGAGATGGGAAGTCAGTCCCCAATCCTGCTCCATGATGACTGAGATCGGTCCCCCACACACCCTTGAATGCCCTCCTACCCAGGGAGAGAAGTCTTGGGCTGCGTAACCTTCCCTAACTCACCCCTCCCATTCACTTAATTCTCCTCTGCCCAAGACCAGGCTCCTCTCCTTCTTTCCTGATCCACCACAGTATCAGAGGGCAATGTGGAGGGCTCCAGCCAGGGACTGGCTACTGTGGTCTGGAGATAGCAGCCCTCTGAGCACACCTTCTGGTCTGTGAAAGTGCCCAGGGGCATCCGCCTGTTTAGCAGAGTGGGGAGGTGGGAAAGCAGTATGTCCTGCTTCGTGGAGGGCCCGTCTTTGCAGACCCTGTTTCCAGGACCCACCAGGAGAGGGGATGGGAGTAGAGCATCATGATTGAGGCCAATAACCTGCCCAAAGCAATGAATTCTGGAGTTGAGACCATCCAGGTGGTTTGTATAAGCTCAAAAGCAGTGCCTTACTTAGGATATCTGCAGTCACTCAGGCTGGGACAGGAAGGAGACAGTCACAAATCCCTGTGTGCCTGGGGAGTGGGAGGAGTTGCTTTCTCCTGCCTTTTCTCTCAGCCCCTGGCACAGAACAATGGCTCTGTCTAGCAGGTGGATTTAGATAACGCTGACCCTGGGGATATCTTTGCACGTCTGGATTAAGTGACACCTTTTATCTTACTCAGAAAAGAACAAAGGTCTTCCCCAGAGCCCAGTGTGCCTGAGACTGTGGGCTAGTGCTCGGAACTCTTTACAAAGGAGAAGGTCAAGGAGCTAAACGGGATCAGGGATCTGCAGCAGGAAGCCAGGGACAGATGGGAAGAGAGGCTGGAGACAACACGCGGGCTGGCAGTGGAGCCATCCCGATCTAAAGAACCTGGGGGGGAAAGGTGACCCCAAAGGAGCCATGCACTGAGTTCGGGAGCCTGAGGAGCACTGCTGGGGCCCACCAGCTGGAGCGTAACACAGAGATGCCCCTCTCACCTCCAGCCAGGCTGCCCGGCGGCCCCCGTGCCGGGGAGACCTTGGGCATCAGCAGGCGTCTGCCTCTGCATCGTATTCGAAACCGGATGGCTCACCCCAGGGCACGTGGGTCAGGAAGCAGTGAGTCCTGGGGTCGAGGCCATCCATCCACCTGAAACTCCTCTTCGGTTACTTCTTCCTTGGGGTTGGCTTGATCCTCCTTTTCAATCTGGTTTACAAAAAGAAACAAAAAAATCCATGACACTGGTAAGTGATGTATTCTTTCTTCGTGCTCAGTTAATATAACTGTGAATTTGTAAACTACCTTGGAGGTTATTCTTTTTCTGGAAAGCCCTTAGAATCTCTCTCTTCAATTTCCTCAATTTTGGTAGTATCTGGCCAAAATAATATAATATTTCCCTGACCTGATTCTAGAAGACATATTCTTTAAAAGTTCTTCTATTTTACATGCAATAATTATTGCTTTTCTACTGAATCATCACAGATAATTTTTAAGCACAGAGGAAGTAGAAGTACCACCCCCACTCCTATTTTTAAAAAAAACAAACTAGTCATACTGCCCAGGAACATGAAGACATGAATGTACACACATATACCTACAGGTATGCACTAACATTATAAAACTGTGACCATATTGACAAGTTCCCATTTTGATGGGGAGCAGACTGTATTCAAAAAGAAAATAAATACCACCCAGGAAAAATATTATGAATATGTGACCCCAAACAAGCATTGCTTGCAAGCTTATTCTCCATCTTATATTAACTGCAGTTTATTTAGACAGCAGGACTTTAAGTGACCGCCTTTGAGGCCATGGTAAAATGAGGCTATGTCAAATAGTTTCAAACATCATTGAAGTTCTTAATTTAAATAAAAACAAAGAAGAAAAAAAACAAAGAAATGTGCCATATTTTTACGCTAAGGACTGAACTTAGGGGAATCATGGCTTTTCCTGTAATTGTCAGAGGGGAGTAAAACTTAGAAATAAAATTTATATTCAAGTATTCCCAACAGCATTTTCCAAAACCCCAAATTATATACCAAGCTAACACTGTGGGTGTCCTTCAGACAGGAGTGAGGATAAATGAAGAAACAGTTTATTGAAATTTGACGAGTGAATCGTAGCCCGGAAGGTTGGAACACATCCCCATCCGTTTCCTGGGTTGTCTCTATGACCTCCCGACATGAGACAGCCTGTTCATGTCAGAGCCCCACAGAGATGCTGCTGAATGTGAAAGCCTGGGTGGTGGCAGGAGCAGAGAGGCACACAGATCCCAGGCATCGCCCCGTGTGCGGCACCGCTGCAATCAGCCTCCGTGGCATCTTAGGTAATGTGAGCACCTACTCATCTCATCGGCACTTTGCTGGCAATGGCAGCCACATTGACGGTACTGGGGCAGCCAAATTGTGCAGCAACAAGCCCCCGAATTCCATTTCAACAAGAGGAAGCAACTGAGTTGGGGAGAATCTGCCAGTAGTTAGGGTTAGACGGCACAGTGAACCCATTAAGTAAGAGTCCTAATAACATCGACTTACCTAGGACTATAAGATGATAAACTCAGTCCTTTCCATTGATAAATAATGAGGTACATAACATCTCATTTTACAGATAGAAAAAATATGGTTTTGAGAGAACAAGTAACTAGGGCCAGCAGGAGAGCTCAGACTCAAACCTGATGCCAGACATGGTGTATTTATAGGTCTCATTCAGCCAATAGCATCAGCCAAGCCCAGAGCCAGACCCTGGAGACAGGAGTTTAAGCTAGATTCCTGCTCCTGACTCATGCGCACTCCAGCAAGGTGACTGAAATGCAGCAGTGGAGATGCCCATTGAGCCCAGGGAGGAGGTGGACATCTGCTCAGCAAGAAGGATGAAGGCTCTTAAGCCAAAGAGCTGTGCCAAAGCTCCCAACCACCGACAATAAAGATGATTCTGCAGACGCAGGAGAGAGGTTCTCTGTTTACATGAAATACTCTGCACATCGTCCCCACTGACCCACTCAAAACAGGAAAATAACAAGTCACTATGATGCAAAAATCAAGCCCTGTATAAAATGTCCTAATCATCTCCTTGTAGCCCATCTGTAAAGGGTGAAAGTTATAAACACTGTTCACATAGCAGAGCAGAAGAAACAAACAGCTCAGCCCCATGTGGGGCTGGGAAAGGAAGCAGCATGAGTTTTGGCCCATGTATGGGCAACCATCTCATGATGGCTCTTCAGGGCGCTAGTTTCTTCAAGAAGAGCTTGGCCCTAAATGTCCCTAGAGTTTCAGTAATAATCACCTATAAGCATCAGGGTGACATCAATATCTGGTGATCTTGGTCAACTGCCACAATAATAATTCTAGTAGTGACTAGAGCTTCAATTTTTTTAAATCCAAAACATATTCATACCCATTCATTAGTTTAACAATAGAGAATGTCAATCAGTGAACCATAAGGAAAGATAAACCACATCTTGAAATGAGAATTAGAAGAAAGTACAGGTATAAACCTACAACCCAACCCAAGTATTTTATCCTTTTTAGTGATCCAGAAAGCCAATTTGTCAAGGACTTAATTTGTTAAAATATTTCTCTAAGGAGCAAATGTTTTAAGTGAAATAGTTTTTTAAACCCCATGTAAACCTAAACATACAGATTAAAACTAAAAAATAAAATTGTCTCTATTCATGGGTGACATGAATGTCAATGTAGAAAATCCCACAGTCTATCCCCCTCCCCCAAAAAATGGTAAAATAAGTGAGTTTAGCAAGATCACAGGATACACAATCACTATACAAAATCAATTGTTTTTATATACTAACAATGAACAATTAAAATTTAAAATGTGCTATTTCAATAGCACTTTTATAGACTACTGAGGTATAAAGCAAACAAAACATGTGTAAGACCTATGTACTAAAAATTACAAAACAAAACAAAAAAAGAACTAAATGAATGAAGAGATATACTATGTTAGTAGATTCAACAGTATTATAGTTCTCCCCAAATTGATCTATAAATTCAACACAATCTCATTCCAAATCCTATCAGAAGATATTGTAGAATTTGATACACTGACACCAAAATTTGTATGGAAAAATAGAAGAACTAGAATAGCCAAAAACGATTTAAAAAATGAAAAACGATGCTGAGGAATTCACACTAATTGATTTTAATACTTACTTTAAAGCTACAGGAATTGTGTTGTGTCATTGAGAAGCAAGATATGTAAATTAACAGAACAAAATAGAAAGTCCAGAAATAAACTTGCATGTTATGGTCAACAGATTTTTGACAAAATTGCAAAAGTAATTAAATGGAAAGTCTTTTCAACAAATGGTGCTGGAACAATTGAAAATGAATATGCAAAAAAAGTATTGAACCTCAACTCATGCCTCACACCATTTAGAAAAAGTAACTCAAAATGGATAATAATGTAAATGCAAAATCTAAATTTTAAAATTTCTAGAAGGACACATAAGGATAAAATCTTTGTGACCTTGGGTTAAGCAAAGAATTCTTGCACACGATACAAAAAGCATAACCCCTTTAAAAATGATAAATTGGACTTTGTCAAAATTTGAAACTGATTCAACACAAGACATTTTAGGAAAATGAGAAAGCAAGCCACGGGCTGGGAGACAATATTTGCAAAAGAGATATTTGTATTCAGATAAATTTTATAAACTCTCAAAATATAATAATTAAAAAATAACAATCCACTTTTTAAAATCGGCACAAGATTGAGCAGATACTTCACCAATAAATGTCTTTGATGGATGGTATACAAGCTCATTAAGAGATTCTCAACATCATTAGTCATTAGGAAAATGCAAAATTTATTAAAAGTACAATGAGATGTTATTACACACGTATTACCATGGGTAAAATTGTAAAGCTGACAATAACAAGTGTTGGCAGGAATGCAGAGTATTGCACATTGCTGGTCAGAGTACAAAATGATACAACCACTTTGGAAAACAATTTAGTATTTTCTTATGCTTTTAGATATACAACTGCTATATGTCCCAGTCATATCAGTCTTAGTTATTTACTCAAGGGAAAAGAAAACTTATGCCCAAGTGAATGTTTATATAGCAGCTTTAATTCATAATCACCAAAAACTGGAAAAACCTGAAATCTCCTTCAACTGGCAAATGGAAAATTGTGAGGTACATCCATACAAAGGAATATTATTCAGCGATAAAAATGAAAGAACTACTTATTCATGCAACAGCGCGGTTTACTCTCAAATGCATTATGCTAAGTGAAAGAAGCCAGACTCAGGAGGCTCCACACTGCATGATTCCATTTATATGACATTCTAGGTAAGACAAACAATAGGGGCAGAAAACAGATCAGTGGTTTTCAGGACCGTGGGGGTTGACTGCAAAGGAGAAGTATGAGAGAAATTTAGGGGGTTATGAAAATATTCTATATCTTGATTGTGGTGGTAGTTGTTGTGCATAGAGCTATTTGCTGAAAAGGCTGGATTTTACTGCATGCAATTTATATCTTAATAAGCCTGACATATGTGGGATTTGTTTGCTTGTGAGAAGGGGTGGTGTGTATTACACATACATGTACATGCAGACCCTGGAGGAGACAGGAGCGGAGGAAGATCTCAAGTGTGGTCGACCTGATCAGAGAAACATGCCTTGTCCTCTGAGGCAGAGGGGAAGGATCTAAAGACAGAGATATATCCTGATAAACATGTGAGAGCTGCTGGGCGGGCTAGTCTGGAGAGGGGCTGATGTGCATCCCTTTATGGTGTCACCAACCCTGAAGGCTAGAAGGCTCTTCTAGCTGTGCTCAGCATCCATGGGCTCAGCAGTTGGGAAACTGCAGTAGTTCAGGTGAGTCATCAGCTTGATGTAGGACGGGGATTTGTGAGATGAAGGTAACAGGAAGATGGGTGACAATGGGATCAAGGCTGTGAGAGAGGGACCGGTTACCCTTGTGGTCTAGATTAAGAACGTGTGACCAGGGAGGAGCTGTCAGACTGGGAGATCACACACGGCTCACAGGACTGGAGGCCTCTCTGGCCGTCCCAGGCCTCTGCACAGGCCTTGTGCTCTAGGGACCGTCCTGCGGAGGGAAGGCCTACTCCTGAATGGGAAGGAATTTATGGCGTATGCAGAGCAAGATTCAACAGTTCAGTCTCCACCCTGACTGGCATGGCCCAGCTGGTTGGGCGCCATCCAAAACAAAAGGAAGTCGATTCGGTTCCCAGTCAGGACAGATGCCTGGGTTGGGGCACACAAGAGAGGAAACTGATCAATGTCTTATTCACACGTCAATGCTTCTCTCCCTCTCTCTCCTCCTTCCTTCCCCTCTCTCTAAAATAAATAAACTGGTGAAAAGAAGGGGAAGGGGCTAGTCAAAGAACATACACGAATCACCCATAGACATGGACAATGACATGGGGATTGACTGTAGGAGTGGAGGGTGGGCTGGACAGAGGGGGGGAAAGGGCGACAAAATTGGGACAACTGTAATAGCATAAACAATAAAATATTTAAAATTAAAAATAAATTAAAGTTAAATAAATAAATAAAGTCTTTTAAAAAAGAGTTCAGTCACCCAGACTCACAAAAACAATCATGCCACCTGAGCGGCAGGCAGGCCAAGAGCCTGCTCTGAGAGCAAAGTGCTCAGGGGCCTTTCCGAACTCTGCTGTTACCTGGAAAACGATGGGTGAATTTCTAATTGTGTTTTGCTGATGAGACTAAAAATAGATTACCAGGGCATCACGACTGAGATGAAATTAAGCATAATATATGCTTGGATATAATTTTTCCACAAACATGTAAGAAAGAAGTTCTTTCAAAGGCTTGGCTACAAAGTCAATGTCTGTTGCCTGGGGAAATAGAGGGTGGGCTCAGGAAACGGGCTGGAAGGGCTAGATCACCCAATCCTTCCAGAAAGAAAGAATGCCCCATGGTTTTCTAGAAGGAGAATATTCAGAGTGTATGTCTTGGCACCAGGCAGGATAAAAAGAAGTCAAGTCATGTCGTAGAAAATGTGGGGGATAAGTTGGCATCCACATGCCTGAAAAGCAGACAGGCTACCTCCACCTAACAGCCTGAACTTTAGCAGCTGGCCCCAGTGTGTGTGTGTGCATGCGTGCGTGCGTGCGCGCATGCGTGCGTGTGTGTGTGTGTGTGTGTGTGTGTGTGTTTAAGCTTATTTATTTTTAGGGAGGGGAAGGCAGGGAGAAAGAGAGAGAGAAAAACATCAATGTGTGGTTGCTTCTTGTGTGCCCCCTACTGGGGACCTGGCCCAAAACCGAGACTCGTGCCCTAGACCGGAAATCAAATTGGCGACCCGTTGGTTCACAGGCCAACACTCAGTCCACTGAGACACACCAGCCAGAGCCCAAATACCTAGTTTTATCAGTGCACACAAACTGTTTGGCAGTGCTGATGATTCCAAACAAACTGAAAACAGTATACAAATATGAATCTCCTTCTACAGTTACAAAGGAAAATGAAGTGTTTGCATTCTATTCCCAATGTGACCAGCATGTAGTCATTCAGTTGGTATGTTTGTCCTAAGCCCTAGAAGTCACATGCTGCCATACTTACCCCAGGATGGTTGGTGGTCAGGAAAACACCAAACCTAGCTTGCTTCAATTTCAGACTCAAAACTAGAGTCATCTCTGTCTCCTAAAGACCAAGTGCTTTGGAGAGCCTGAAGCCACCTAAGAACTTTTACCTTCTGACAATCAGCTATCTTTCCGTGACCTAGATTTTACCATCTGCTGAAGTAAGACAAGGGAATAGAGGAGGGGGATCAAGCAGGTGGGACCACTGAATGTGAGCTGAGGTTGGAGGCAGCAGTTGTTCCTGGAGGACACGGCAGCATCACCATGGATGGGCCGCCCATCTGAGCATCTGGCCCAAGGCACGCATCATTTCCCTTGACTGCCCCGAGCCTGGTTCAGTGCTGTACACAGGGTCCGGATGAATAGTCTTGAAAACACATGCAGAAATAAATTGCTCTTCCAGGCTTCTGGTATGCAAGGCCTCAGTTTGGTACCAGACATGCTGTGGCCCTGTGAACTGAGTGCCAACCTGTGAACCAAAGGGTCGCCAGTTTGATCCCCAGTCTGGGCACGTGCCTGGGTTGCAGGCCAGATCCCTGTGTAGAGGTGCACAAGAGGCAACCACACATTGATGTTTCTCTCTCTCTCTTTCTCCCTCCCTTCCCTTCTCTCTAAAAATAATAAAATATTTTTTTAAAAAAAAAGATATACTGTGAACATCTGTCTCAAAGGCACACACAGCACTGCCCAAATATGTGTGTGACTGGCCCCAAATCAGTCACTCACATCCACAGTGGTTTTCAGACCACAGATCCCTGGTTCTCAAAAGTGGAGCACTGAAGAGCAGAGAGCAACTCAACCCAGGAAACGCTTTCAAGCTTTCACTTTTAGAACCGTAGTGTGTCGCCTTCCACACCCCTTTACTATACATCACAGATAGTGAGAATCATAGATCTATGGAGGACATAGGTCAGTCTCCCAGCTGTGGTATGTGTGTACCACCTGCGTTGCACTACTGGGGAAGGGGAGATTGCTTGTTGAAAATGCAGATCCCCAGACCCCACCTGTGACCCAAGGAATTAGATTCTCTGGGGACGTCTATGACATGCTCCCCAGTTGGTTCTTCTGCATACTGAGTCTGTAAATGTCATGTGACATGCACACATGGTGCTGTACTATGCAGGTGCTGGGTGTCAGGGTAGATATGAGAACCTCAAATACAATTAACACATGCTATAAACTTACAAAACAGACTCATTTCCAAATATTACAAGGACTAAAAGTGGGCCTGCCGTGTGTGTGGGCAGGAAGTATATGGGAAATCTCTGTAGCTTCTGTTCAATTTTGCTGTGAACCTAAAATTGCTTTAAAAAAAATAAAGACTATTAAAAAAAAAAAATTCAGCCCTGGCTGGTGTGGCTCAGTGGATTGAGTGCCAGCCTGTGAACCAAAGGGTCACAGGTTCGATTCCCAGTCAGAACACATGCCTGGGTTGAGGGCCAGGTCCCCCATAGTGGGTATGTGAGGGCAACCACATATTGATGTTTCTCTCCCTCTCTCCCTTCCTCTCTCTCAAAAAATAAATAAATAAAATCTTTTTTAAAAACTCACCAATTATAAGTGTATAATTTAAAAAAACAACAACAGTTAACCTGCCTAAGATGGCGTGGATGAACAGGTGCCTCTCTGGTTCACCTTTCCTCTCTACATGGACACCCCAACTTTCACCCTCTACTCCTGCAGCCTAATCACCACTGTGAGGCCTCAGTGAAGCAGGCCCTGCTCCAGATTCCCATAATCCGACGTACATACTCACTGTGACAATATTAGGACATCCACACCCTACGCTGTGACGAGTTATTCTCTCATTTGGTCCTAGTAAATCACCAAAAATCCCTGGCTGGTTCACTGCCCTCGTCCTTCCTGCTCTCTGTAGGTGTGGGATCCAGTCTGGTAGATGACCGAATGAACGCATGAATGAGCAGGATTCACGCCAGGTGCCGTCGGAGGACAAAAGGCCTGAGCCTCTACTTTTCCACACACAGGGACCACATCTCCTTTCTCCTGGGCACAGGAATCAAGGCCCTCATTTATCCCACATTACTGGGGTCAATACTCGGAACTGATCAATTAACCACTTCCAGTCCTACTCAACAAAGGAACTCACGGGAGCCGCCGTCTGAAGTACCGTGCCAATGGCATGTACGAGGAAAACAGAAGCCACACCAGGTATTACAGACAGAGGACATTTAATGCAGGGAACTGAGGACAGGTTTGGCAAAGCTGAAAGAGGGTCCTTGAGGTGACCCAGGTGTTAGTAAACACAGGAAGCAGCTACTAACCTTAGGACTGGGGGAACAAAAGGGAAGAGACGGTGTTACCAGAACCTAGAAGCTTTGGCGGGGGACCCCCCACGGCTGGTGCCTGGCCCTCTTTGGGGGCTGCTGCGCGGCTGCTGCTTGGGCTTCTGAGGGGGGCGCTGCTTGGCTGGTGGTGGTCGGACCTCTGGGCGGGGTCGTGGCTGCCGCTCAGACCTCGGAGGGGACCGTGGCTTGGCTGGTGCTCTGACCACCGCGGGGGGTGCAGCCGGCTGTTGCTTGGGCCTCTGAGGGGACGTTGGACGGCGGCTGGGTCTGAGAGGGCCAAAAGAAGCTGGAGGCGGGAGCCATGGCTCCGCTCTGCTGCTTAAGGGAGGCTGGCAGGAGCTGGAAACAGGGAGGCAGGCCCTGCTCCCCCTCCCACCCTCAGTCTCCCTCCAGCGCCTTTCGATGGCAGCACCTACCAGGGAGCCCACGGCCAGGCCAGGGGACGGGGGAAGACCAGCGTGCAGAGCCCCAGGCCAGCGTCACAGAGGAGAGCAGAAAGGGCCGACGCCCAGCGCAGGTGCTGGGTGGGCAGCACAGAGCCCTACCTGGTCTTCTGGCAGGCACAGCAGATCCAGTCCTCCTCCTTCTTCTGGTAGAAGCAGCCACTCTTGCAGATGCTGTATTTCCGGTCCACGATCTCCCGCTTGGAGTTGAGGAAGGTGAATGGCGGGCAGCAATGTATGCTGAAGTGCTCGGAAAACTTTTGGTTCTTGGAGAGTCTAGGACCCTCCTTAGTCGTTTTCTGACTCATCTCACTGGAAGTTATACACGCAGGGGGAGGAGGGGAGACACAACACAGCATGTCAGGTGAGAGAGCCTTCTACTCAAGGGACGCCCTCCCTGCTGCTCCCAGAGTTGTCTCAAGTAAAGGAAGCCCAGAGTATCAATTTCCTGCCCAACTATATGGAAAACAACTAAATTAAGGGTTGGTTAATTTTTGTATAATTTTTAATGCTTTCTGGAAATGGATTTTTTTCCACCTTGTATTTAGTGATGCATTTAAGATAGAAGAAAATATTACGAAGCCAAACATTACTGAGCATGTCCCGTAGGGTGGCTGCATTATATGCTTTGCCTCATGTTTATGGCATTATCAGCAAACTATAGATGAGAGAAGCTGGCAGGCATGGCCAAGTTCACAAAGTCCGTAAGAGGCAGACAGAGGGTTTGAATCCATGTCTGTGTGTCTCCAAAATCCCAGGCCCTTTGACCAGGCGCAGCACTATCTGTGGCCCCCTGTGCTCAGCCCCCGTCTTCTAAGAGCAAGGGTCCAGGCGCCGGGCCCAGGCTGGGCTTCGGGGGACTAGAGATGGGCCCAGCAGAGGGATAAGCCTGCAGGGATGCAGGATCTAGGTCCAAGGGTGGAAAAGACTGAAGGCTGGGGACAGAGCTCTCTGAAGAAGGAAAGGAGGCAAATGGCGGTGGGAGGCCTCACAGAGGATGGCGGCGAGGACTTCCCAAGCGAGCAAGAAAGCTCACGGTGGGGGACTAGATCGTAAACTCAGAGAGGGTCCCCAGGGAGTATGATAGGCAGGTAGGTGCTTCCCTCTGCTCCTCCCCCACCTGGACTTCGTAGGTTCTCAAAGCTATATTTGCTGTTGAAAATTTTTTAGTTTGGATGAATGGAAATAGTAAAAATTCCTAAGTTCTTATTCTATAGTTAACCACTGGTAAAATATTTGCATATTTTTTAGAATATTTACATGTAAATAGATACTTAAGAAAAATAGGACCACTCTTTATGAACTGTTCAAATTTTTATCTTGAAAATCATTTATTTCTAAAGTTTTCTAGATACAGACGTAATGTAACTCCTACTATTCTTTTATGCAGGGGTGTCCAACCATTTGACATCCCTGCGCCACACTGGAAGAAGAAGAATTGTCTTCGGCCACACATTAAATACATTGTGACATGTAATCACAAAAAAATCTCATAATGTTTTAAGTAAATATATGATTTTGTGTTGGGCCACATTCACAGCCATCCTGGGCTGCATGTGGCCCACGGGCCACAGGTTGGACACCCCCGTAATAGCTTTAAAACCTGTAATAAATTTATAGTTACAGCCCCCTTTATACTTTATATATTTACAGGTTCTTGCATTTTTCTTGATTAATATTGCCAGAAGCCACCTACTTTATATTCTTTTCAAAAACAAGCTCTTGATTTTCTTGCTTGTCTTTGCTCATTTTTTTCTAGCTCATTAATTTCTTTATGCATTTATTATTTCTTTTCTTCTGTTTTCTTTAAGTTTACATTCTTATTCTCTTTCTCTATCCTTGAGTCAAATGCTTCTCACATATGCCTTTATGACTGTAACTTTTCCATTAAGTACAATTTAGGGGCATACCACAATTATTAACATAAATCGTTTTCACTTCATTTTAAATGTGGATGAATTCTTCCTTGACTCATCAATTCCTTTGAAAAATATGTTGTAACATTTCCATGTGTATGGAGTTACTTTTGTTACATTGACTTCTAATGTGTCATGACTCTTTGATATCTGTTGAGATTTGCTTTATGATGGCCTAGTACATAGTCAATGTTGTTACATGTTCCACGTGTGCTTGAAAAACTGTGCAGTTTTGGGAACCATTTGGAGTTATCTAGGGAAGATAAAAATGGGCACAAACTGCTGTGCCCAAGAGGAGGAATCTTCCTATTCCTATAGATTCCTCTTCTTGAGCACAGCAGCCATCAGGGTGTGGCCCATCAGCGGGGTGGCCCAGCCTTGCAGGCCAAGCCGCCTCATGGAACACAAAGCCTGGAGGAGCCCGAACCCTGAGTGGCTGTCAGCTGCTCTTCTAGGCCTTGACTCCTGAACACTGAGCACCTTTACAGGACAATCAAACTCCCACCTCGTTTAAACCACTGTGACTTCAGTTACAAGTGATCGAACACAGTCCCAAATTAATATACTGATTCCTCATCTGAAAGAGGGTTTCTTCATCAGTTAGGGCTGCTATCACAAAATGCCACCCATTGGGCAGCTTATAAACAAGAGAAATTTATTCCTCACAGTCCTGGAGGCTGGGAAGTCCAAAGATCAAAGCCCTGGAAGATGCGGCATCCGGTTTGGGGAGCCCCGTTCCCGGTTCATAGGCCAGTAGCATGCGCGAGGGAGCTCTCAGAGGTCTCCTGTATACAGGCACTAAGCCCATTCACAAGACCTGTCCCCTCGTGGCCTGACCCCCTCCCAAAGGCCACATCGCCCAAAGCCATCACACTGGGGATTCAACTTCAACATGTGAATGCTGGGGGACACAAACATTCAGTCCATAACAGAGGTGACCAACAAATAATAATATTTAACTCAGAAGCCTTTAAATTATATTTCCCTTTCACTATGAAGTCATTCAAATGACCTAATTCCACTGAGTTCTCCAGACATATTGTTTACGTATCATCTATAGCTCTGATGACACTTAATTCAAGCATTAATTTCATGTTTAGTTACTTTAGTGGCTAAAAACAAATCATGATGTTTTCACAAAAGATGCCACATAATTACAAAGCAAAGATAATTATGAACTGTCTGGCAGGATAAAGAGAAACATAACTGAATTTGAAATTATGTAATATAATCTCCCTAAGTTTTCCAGATGTTTCCATATACTCTAAAACTAAAGAGGAGGAGAAAAATGAGGCAAGTATTTGAAGAAGGAGGAAAAGGAAGTGAGAGGAAGCGAAGGAAGAAGAACAAGAACCTCCCTACCCTACTATTTATTGAGCACCTACTATGTGCCAGATGCTTTATATTTATTATTCTTAATTCCCAAAATAACTCTTCCAAGTCATCTCAACTGTCATCATTGTAGGGATGAGAAGAGGCCTGAAGGAGTTAAGTGAACTCTCCAATATATTATAATAATTAATAATAATAAATATCAAACTCATAATGGTCAATATGACAAGCTGGATACCCAAAGCTCATTCTCACTTCTTCAATAACAAATGTTTTGTTTGGCAAAGTGATATGCTCAATTAAATACATACAGCTCCCCACGTGACCACATTCTGGCCAATAAAATGTAGGCAAAAGTCCACAGAGAAGAGCCCTGGCTGCTATGGCTCAATGGATCAATACAATGGGTGTATTTGTTGCCTGTTTCTCTCACACATCATGTTTCTTTCCCTCTCTTTCTCCCTCCTTTCCCCTCTCTCTGAAAATAAATAAATAAAATTTAAAAAAATTCCATGGGGAAGATAAGCTTCTTTAATAATAAGGCTTTTATTCAGATGAGACCATCCCCTGCTGAGTGCATCCAGCCCAGCTGTTCCCAGCCCCCAAGAAGCAGCATTATTTCAAGCCTTTGGTCCTTGTCTCATAGGGCTCCTTCCCCTACTTCCTTCTGACCCAACGAATACATGGCAAATGCCTCCACCGCCTTGGGGCTCAGCCCAAAGCCACGCCACTTCTCCAGGACACTTTCCAGGGTCTTCCCTTCTCCCAAGGAGCAATGACTACTCCTCCCTCTTTTGTGCTCTGACCTTATTTGCCATGCATAATTCCAGGAGAGCATCTGGAAGCTTTAGAGTTAAACTTATTGTTCCATTGTCTCCTTGAATTTTCTGTCCTCTGAGCCTTGTACAATGCCATATTCACAGCAGATGTTCAGTAGCTGCTTGATTAAAACAAAGGATGAACAATGGGTGTCTCACAACAGCTGCAGGGGCCCTCAGCCTGTCCTCGCCTGTCCCCAGATGCTCCCTAGCAGTCCCAGGTCCCCTCAGGGACCTCTGCTCTGCCTCAGGCAACAGTGTCTGTTCAATGAAAAAGGCAACACAGAAGGGGACCTTTCTAACTGACCTTGAAATTGATGAAATGCTGCTCCTAGAGAAAACATTTTAAAAGATGCTGTAAACACACTATACCTTTTCCTAATTCATGCAAATTAATTAGAAAGTTTTCATCAATGCACACATTTATTTCTATATTCCAGAGATGGCATTAGCATCTCCATGTGACCGCCAATGTCATTGATATCAACTGTACCTGTCCCTGAGGAGATTGCAGGTGGAGATCGGAGCCCTAAACATAAAATGGATTTTTTTCCCTTCCTTTCTATTATCTTTTCTTAAAAGGCAATTGGGATATGTGGTGATTATTTAATAGAAGTGGCATGTGGCCCTTAGTCCTGGGTGGTCCTCTGGAAAGACAATGCAAGTAGTAAACTGACATATTGCAGTTGCAGCTCACACACTCCATCACGTCTACAAGGGACCAATAGGAAGTCTGACATGGAAATGGGGACAGGCTCTGCAAAGCGAAGGGTGGACGCAGGTCAGTATTTGGAAAACAGGACAGTTTCCCAATTCTTGTCCATCAGGTCCCTCAGAACCAGGAATTCATCATGGGAGGGACAGGAAACAAACCTTGACTCTGACTATTGGGGACCTGAGCCTTATGTGAGAACAATATTGTGGCTTCAGATAGCAAAACTCCAAAGGAAGACCATGATCAGACCCAAGATCCCTGAATATGTGATATGGATTAAGGAATGGGATGTTGAATATATACTCAGGAAAAAATTTAAGTTAGCAAACAAAGCAAGAAATTTCTAATTTATTCAAACTCAATCCAAGTGTACAAAAAAAATCACAGTTTTTTGCATTCTCTTGAATTGTATAATTGATGCAATACTATAAGCTCACCTTTTGCTAAATATTGGCTGGGAAAGACAGGGAAAAGAAGTCAGAAAAAAAACCAAACTTCTGAGTTTATACTGCCTTGATCTCTCCTGGCGTA